CCCATGCCTCATCTCTCTGACGTGGGGCAGATATCCTTTCTTTCCAGAACTGCCTACCGGCTGCTGTAGTCTAAGATTCAAACGCACAATACCACCGGAGAGGGTACATACAGCACCCTGAACATGTGATCAACCCAGTGCCGCATTCACGGGGGAGAGCAGAGAAAGCGCACACCGGAGCCAATGCTAACGTATTGCCTCGGTTCTTGATGCTGTTTCGGTTGCGGTGCGTGCGGTTCCCAGTATTGGGAGTGAAGGGTGGTTCGTGTGCTGTGTGCAAAATTTCGCTCAAAGGCAAGGGTTTTCGGGACTACAGCTCCGATCACAGCTCTCTATTTGTAGTACATAATAGTAAAATTTAATTTTATCACGATTTTTATGCATTTTGTGCGATAGTGGATGATGGTCTCGATTCTCTGATGAGCGGGCCGTTTATTTCGTCGATCTGGCGCTTCTGTGAGGCGGTTTCCCCTCAGCGTCTTCGCATCTAGCGCCGCTAGCGTATATATGCGCTTGCTCTATGCTCTGTCCAAGGATTAGTTGGAGAAGATGTGCCAACAGGTATTGCTTGCACAGGTACATCCTCCTGTGTGTGGACGGTTGCTGTCGGAGACAGGCATGCACACCTGCTCAGAACCTACTGCTGCTGTACAGTCTATTTATCTCCGTGTAATTGCTACTGCTGTACAGCAGTAGTACTACAGCAGTAGTACTACTGTACTCCTGTTCGTCACTCTTACATATACCGCGTCCCCATCCCTGTGAGCCCCACACATGGACCCACTGCTGCACCATCCTTGCCGCCGTGATTTATGAATGTACACGCATGCTTGGAAGATCTTTGACCGCAGAGAGCCAGTTGTGGGGAAAAAAACAAAAAGAATCAAATTAACCCATGGTTAATTCGATTTCCGCACAGGGTCCGGAGTCATCGCACGGTCCGGGGGTCATCGAACAGACCCGAGCTACGGGTGCGATGCAAAAAATTCGTTGCTAATCTGTCTCAGACTCTTTTCCATGATAGAGATGGATTCGTTGTGTCATATATTGACAGTTTCGGACCCAAAAAAAAGCTGAAATAAGGAAATATATCTTGAATTAAGCCATCGTTCTGAGGATCGTTCCTGACAGTCTCGCCAGAACCCAAGATAAGGAAAAACTAATCAGATTTAACAGCGGAGGGAGGTTCGTTTTGTGGAAAAATTTGCCAACTTTTCGATTTAAGCAACTTTCTTCGAAACAACACACCAGGCACCACACACAACACATCATCAGGCACCACCCACACGCACACACACAATCTGCAAGAACATGTCCAGGGGCCGCCCAAATAAAACCCAGCGCCCAGCGCAAAGGCCGTGGAGTTGGCGCGCCACCAACACAAAAAGGGGGAGGCTGCACGGTCAGAAAACCAAGTTGGGGTTGGTTGTTGCGCGGCTTTAGGTCGTCAGCAACACGCTCCCGTCACACACAGGTTGAGGCAAGGGGGAAGAAGAGCGCCAGAACGAACCGCGGCAACCGACGACGTAGAGGAGGTGGCAGCACCGCCAGCAAAGGGCAGAGAGGAGGAAGAGCACGCAGGTGCCTTCTGGTGACGCGCCGCAAGAGTATTCTCTGCTTCTACTAGAGAGAGCGTGTTTGACTTTGATGTGCCCCCGCCCCAAAAAAAAAAACTCTCCCGTACGCTTGAAATGCGATACACAGCACTTCGTACAGGGCTGCCGGCTAGTATGTGTACTTCCTGTCGCTGTACTGGTGCGAGTTCGTGTGCTGGGGTTGAGGGGGCAACACAGACACGCACACGCATGCATGCACGCACACTCAACAACAGTGGGAGCGCTGTGATCAGGGTGCAGCTGTCACGCAGCGTACCACAAAAAACAGCAGTACCTGCGAACAGGGGAAGTTCGTTGGGTGACTGTCGTCCCACAGCCAATCACATGAAGCCGCCTTAAATCGGAAAATATTTGCCTGCAGGAAGTTTCCAGGAAACTTTCTTATCTCAAAATCTGTTTCCTTATCTCAGCAAATTTGGAGCCCCAGTCCGAAACTGTGTATTAAGAAAAATTAAAAAAGTAAATGGGGAAATGAAAGGCCGGTACGTCGTTCAGTATATATTCACTGCGTGATTTCTTACACCAGAGGATGAACCGCGAGAATCCGGGGCCTTGGCGACGATGCACCATCAGGCTGTGTGAAAGTCACACGGAAACATGATGGAGTTTTTACCTGTGTTTCGTGAAACATTTTGTTGTGGTTCATACATCGAAAACATCGGATCTTGGGCACGGTGTGCGGGCCCTTTTTTTTGTATCGGTTCAGTTGGGGGGCAAACGCTCATGGAACGAACCGTTTTTTTTTTAATATGTCACGGAGCAATTGTTATCATTTGGAAAGGTCACAGGGCGTAGTCATTGTAAACCCCCAACTCCAATAAAAAATCGCTCCGTGAACACCCATTCCTGCAAATTTCATGCTAGTGAAAACGAAAATCACAAGGCCACCTCGACGACGGTGCCAAACACGGCAAAATCATCATCTCCCGCACCGTAATTTCCACCTCTGCTCGGCGTCCCTCCTTCCGCCCCTTCCTGTCGCGCCAAACGCAAGGTCCACCGGGCGTGGACAAGTGGTCTGTCGGTCCACCAACACTCCGCCGGCTGTTCCTTCTCTCGTACCAGACAGGCCACTACGGTGTCCATTGAGATCCATCCACCCCCAGTTGACCTCCGATCTGGCAAGGGTACTCCCAGATGTATCCCATGGAACTCGAAGCGCAACGCTAAGCCTACCGCCGCCTTGCCTCTAGGGGGGAACTGGGGCTGTCCAAAGACTCTGTCCTCAAGTGGCGTTTGGCACTTCGTGCCGCCTCGCAGGTGGGGCGTTTGTTTCATGGATATTCTAACCCAGCTCCAGCACAAGTGCGACGCAAGCCATCTTGAGCCTATAACCCCCGTTTAACTGCTTGTCGTGGGCACCTGCAAGAGCAATTAAGTACATAACAGGAAAATATTGAGGAACATGGGGACCATAGTCCTGCTGCTTGCTCATGAAAACAGTTCGCGCGAAGGGCGTGCGTACGCCCACACACCGGGGGTTTACATTTCAATGAGAAGAGTTTCAAAATATTTTTCGTTGTTGCGTGTAGTAATAACTTCGTTGGTTGTTCTCCGACGCCGTGGAGCAGCGATCTACCGCATAAGGCACGAACTACACCCGCAACGGTCGTTCCTGTATGTACCTATTGTACACCGGATGAGCCGCGAACGGCTGTTTTTTTCCATACTAAATCCCTGTTAATAAGGACATATCAGCACTAGCACGGAGAACGCAGGTAACTCGCCTGTTTTTTAGTTTGAGTCTTTCCAAACTATATCATATGAAAGCTATTTGTCTGGGGAATCGTTGGAGCTACATCTTGGACTTAGATTTGAAGATTTGGTGGTTACAAAAACGCCCATAGAGGTACACTTACAGCGGACTGCTGTGCAGGGATTTTGGTACCACAAAGAACTTTTGCATTATCAGTTCTTTCGGCTCGAAACTTGGTGAATACCCAGAGCATAGCAAGTAGGATCTTATGCTACCGAATTCCTGGTGCTGTGCTCGACCTATCGATACCCAGGTGTGTGTTCCTTCCCATGAGGGCCCCGTTTGGCGTCGCAACGGAGCCCCCTTTTCACCGTCGCAGCACGTATAGCTACAACACGTATCTGAGAATCCGACGCATCCAAACGACTCTCCAGTACATGGGCTGCTTATAAATACCCTCACGAACGACTAACGCTCTCTGTAACGTAAGCTAGGACGAGAGCGCCGTCCTGTGCTGCTGCTGCTGTGGTCCGCCCAAAAGTACATGCGGCATGACCCAATCTTGCAACCAGCACCGACTTCCGCGAATCTGGTTGCAGCTGAGCTACCGCAGTCTGCGGTCAGCAGTGTTGGGAGTGTAGAGAACGGAACCCACCTGCGGTGTCATCCAACGCCTTGTCCTCGTCTCGCAGTGGTCCACCAAAGTAGCGGGTGCTCGTCTCTGAAGGGGCTGTTTTTGGAACCAGAAGGGGGTTTCCAGCCGTTCTAAAGGCTATATACTTGGTTTTTCCGAAACGGAACCTGCTGTTCTTCAATCCGGATTTGATACACAGGCCATTGCCGTCCGGATTTGGGTAGATCCGACTCTTTTATTCCTATATCGAAATGTGATTTCGAGATCTGATTTCTTCGTTAAGACCGAGCCTTACGCAAACCTAAAAACCGTGCCCTTCATCATCGGCGTCGTCAGAGAAACACTATTGAGGAAGATTTGAAAAAAAAAGGAGTAGACGAGAGGTTTGATGCTATGTATGGGAAGTGTGACAGGTTACACAAAGACAAATCACCGAGAGACTATGGTATCCTCATTCGAGATAATACCACAGGTATACTCGCTGAAGACATTACCTACAGCAGCAGTCGAAGGAAGGAAGGGGATGCGCTGAATTCTCGGGTGAATTTCAACGTGTACATCTGCTTCTCGTGCTGTGGTACATCCTGTAGGTGGTACGCAGGAGAGCGGTAGCAGTGCGGGAAAAGTCGAAAACATTCTTTCTACAACCAACCCGCCCGTTCATCGCGTATGACATCGAATTCATGACGTCATCACGGTCCAGCCAGCCATCACTCCGGTGAATATGCAAATGCATATGATATCACAATCAAATCCCGTCCTCGCTCGGCCCACGGGTGGCACAAAACCCACAGGATTTCGATCCTTCGGTTTTGCCCTTTGGTCTGGATCCAGCTTGCTTGCCGGTGTCTACATCTATCTGCACCACCAACTTTGGTAGAGCGCTTCGGGTCATCTCCGTAATCTCGTTTGGCGCGCCGGATCTTGCTGGTGGTGTCCGTCTGGTGGTCTACAAAAAAACAAAAAAACGTATGCACCCACCTGCCAGTAGCATCAACACCAAGGAGAGGAAAAATATCACGCCAGCCACCGGCAGCCTCGTAGGGACCAGAACGGCGTCCTGTAAGGATGTCCACTGCTGGTGGTGCTATTGATGCTGGCGCTGTTTCTCCTAGGGGTGGTGCTCCTGCCGCCGCGCTTGACCGCCCCGACAGCGAATCAGATGATGCATTCCCCACTCGTGTGGTGGTCATCCTGGCGCTCGCAATGACGGTCCATTCGTACACTTTGGTCTCTCTCTTTCCGTACGTCGGGATGATGGTGAGCGATCTGCTGAGCTTGGAAACTCTCAATGAAGCAGGTGAGTATCGACTATGTAGCAGCCTGGCAGTTTTGCCGGGAGGTGGAGCTGGAGTGCTTTACATAAGAATGATGCACCTGGAGCACAGCGTTGCGTGTCTGTTCTATTCTGCAAGCAAGTCTATTGTTCAAGAGTATAGTTCTGAAAAGTGATTTGCCGCTCTCGCTTGCGGACTGCGGCTGTCGCCATACACAGACGTATACCGTTCCTTGTCTCTTCCAACTAACTCATTGAAGGCATTTGCATAATACGCAACAAGCATTTCTGGCCAGGCTGTGACCCACCACTCACTTTGGGAGAAGGGATCTCATCTAGGCGGACTGCTGTACCATTCCACGCCTCCATTCAGTATAATTGCGTGTCGTGGGTAACTTATTTAGTGATGATGCATACAAGCAGCACGGTATTGTTGTTGTTGTTGTTGTTGTTGTTGTTGTCTTCACATTAAAAACGGTTCCGATCTCTCTCTACTCGTATGTCCGTGCTGATCGAACACTCGACGCGGTCGATTCCCGTGGTCACAGGTTAACTTACCCTAAAAAGGTACACTCAAATAAACTGGCCCCGAGGGGTCCGCAAGTCAATATGGTAGAAATCAACGACAGATATTCTGGAGTCCTCCACTCTCTCTGCGCGCTATTTTTTTTTTTTTCACTTCAAATCAACGCTCACAGCACTACATGTAGTGCCGTTTACTCCAACCGCTATGCGAGTTATCAACTGGGACTATATAGTCACTATCATCACGGGCCGGAGAGAAAGAGGTACACCCCCTTGGTTCAATCTTGGTACTTCACAACGCAAGCAGAGACAAGGCCATCTGGCACAGAAGAAAAGAGAGAAAAAGAGAAAACAGAGAAAAAGAGAAACAGGAAAGAGAAAATAAAATGAAAAAGAGCGAGGACAAAAAGGGACCAGGCCGAAAATAACAAGAAATAAGAGACAGAAAAAGGCACACGGTGGAGAGACCACTAACGAACAAACACGCAAACATGGCCACCATGCTAATGGTGGTTATGCATGTACTTGTAGACCAACTTTCAAAGCTCGAATGCTCCACACAACCAAGGGGGTGCGGCAACAACCAACCGTAGAATTCTGCGGAAAGCCCTTGGCGAGATGTTTCTACTTGTAACACCAATAACACCAACCTTTTTTCTGTGTTAGCACAAATCCTGGCTGTGGAGCAATCGAGCTTTGAAAATCGGGGGGGTGCCATCAACCCCGCTTACGGAATGTACGCAAGTTGCATATGCAATGGCGGCCAGATTGGCAATGCTTTTCCGGGCCGGGCATGAACCATCAAGAACCAGTTAGCATCCCTCATGCAAAAGGGTACGTGTGAAGGCCGACATGCTCCTGCCGTCGCTCACGCTTGCACCCCGTCGCGCACACAGCCTTGGGTAAAATTTTTGGCTGCCTCCTGAACGCGGAGTGCATCAAGCAGTAGACCTGAACAAGCAACAGATCGCGACTGGATTACTGTACGTATTGGCGCTCCGGTAGTCTCCACCACTCTTGAGAGAGGCTGAGGTTGTCTATTCAAGTCCCTCAGGTTGTCACACCAAATCAAGTCCAGCCGACATGATAACGCACAGCGCTGCGCTATTGTACATGCATCCTTGTCAAGAGCTTCGCTTACTGTGCAGCTTCGTACACTCCCTCCTCAATCTGGAAACGTTTTCGAAGGGATCTCGACAACTCACCAATCCCCGGTTACGACACGTTACAAGGAATACGGTTTCAGTCAAGCTCCCCATCGCCCCTCACCAGAAGAGTCTGCCGATCTGTTCACCCATCCTCAACCCAAAGGTTATTACGCCGGGTACGTGGCGAGCGCTTTCACCTTCGGCCGATTCTTGAGCGGCTACGCTTGGGGGTACGTGACAGATTCTGCCGGGAGGAAGCCAGTCATCGTACTCGGGTTGATGTCAATGATAATTTTTTCGTTGGCTTTCGGGCTGTCTACTTCCTACGCCTGGGCCGTTTCATCTAGGTGCGTTTTCGCAGCACGTTTTTCGACTGACTGACTGACCGACCGATTCTTGTGTCCGCTCTCTTCAATACCACTGGGTGTCAAATGTATTGTTATTTTTTGTGTAGAAGGTTGTTCGGAGGCGGCATGCATGACTGTGCCCTGCTTGCGAATGCCAAAAGCGATACAGGAAGCCGTAGTGTCACTAATTCGGCGTATATTCTGGGTCGTGCTCGAACTTATTGATTAGTATCCCCTAAATTTTTTTGTGGCGGACGCTTGTTGATCGCGATAATGTGTGTGGCACGTGAAATTCATCCATCACGCATCAAGCTCAAAGAGCTTCTCTAGCAAGATCTACGGATCACATCAGGAGCGCAGGTTTACCCATACTAAAGTTGCGGAGGTTATCGTTCGTATGATGCACGTTTCGGCAAGTGGACGATTTTCAAAGGTCGCATATACATGCGGCGAACCACATCTGATACTGACTTGGACGTTGTGCTTGATCGTGCATGCCTCGCGGGAATTCTTGGCATCCCCCTCATTCAGGTTGATTCTCGGGCTGACCAACGGAATCATGGCCGCCCTCCGGATTTCACTGAACGAGGTCTGCGGGCCGAAGCATGTATTGGTGGGGATGAACTACCTCAACAGTGAGTGATTGTCTCTAGCACGTGAACGGCTGTGCAAAATGTTTCTGGGAACGACTTTCCTTGTGACAGCTCGATCACACGGCGACCCTTGCATTTGCAGTACTGTACCCCACATCCACATCTTCAAGTGTCGCCCATTGCAAGTCGCAACACTGAGTGCCGTGATGTTCTCGTACGTCCTTTGCGCAGGCTGTAGGGCCATTAGCATGGTTGTGGGCACAGGAGTCGGGGGTCTTCTGGCTCAGCCTGCGGTTCACTATCCAAGCGTGTTTTCGGCTACGGGGCTTTTCGGGAGGTTAGTGTTCTTTATTGGCAAAACCCCGCGTGCCTTGGTTCCATCGGTAGGGATCTTCTGTCGATTTTTCGGATACTCTCTGTTTGTGTACGTCGAAATTCGTGTGTGTTGTGTGCAGTCAATCCAGTGAAAGACGTCATTGGGCGAGTTCCGCTGAACAGTAGGTCTATTCCCACGTCCGACATGAGACAGGCGGCATCTACGGATACTTGACACACAGCTGGTCTATGACCGGTAGGAGGGCCCTGTTGAAGAAACACCGGGTGTGAGGCTATTACGTTTGTCAACGCACTTGGTTCTGTGAATACAGCGATGGGTGACGAGTCGTGGACGATGCCGGACGTGCGCCTTCCGCGAGCGACGAGTTTTAAATGGTACCAAACCGTAGCCCCCAAGCTCCAACATAGCTAGCTCCAAACCAAGCATCGTTTTGCTACTCTCGGTTCTTCTGTTTTCCCCACCTGTCTACGCTTTCTCTCGAGAATACCTTCAAGGCGTTGGGGATTTGGGTCATTTTTGTAGATGGGGCGAAGAATCCGAAACGCCGCCGCCTGCGCTTGATGTTCGTTCCTCGCTCAAGGTATCCGTTCCTGCTGCCAAACCTTGTGGGAGCGTCTTGCGCGCTCGTTATCATGGTCCTAGTGATAATTTACCTCCCGGAGACGAAGGATTACGCGACCATCGCGGCGAAACGTGCTTTTCTGCAGGAGCAGCAGCTGCAGCAAGAGCAGCAGGAGCATACCAGGTATCGTTCCCCTTTCAACATCTCTTGGTGTTAGACGCCATACATCTGGTTGCTGCGCGTCGTGGTTCGTCCAGACGAAGATTCGTTTCCATGACAAGCCCGCAAAAAAGTCTCCAGATTACCTCGAAAACCCTTCGCGGTATAAGTACAACTCAGCAGCGCTGTAGGTTTGTCTTCTGTTGCTCGCACAGAGCGTACTACCAACAGGCTGACATCGTTCCCGAGGTACGGTCATCCGCATGGGGGGGCGCCGTGGAAAGTTTACAAGAGCACCCACCCTGAAAGCGTGTTGTTTAGGAACGTGCTACGCCGTTACGCCCTTGCCGCAACATTTTCCCTTGTGGCAAGGTTACCCGAAACCACCAGTTTGATTGGAATTTTGCCGTTCTGGATCACCTAGCGTAACATATGGTGTTCGTCTGGGATGTCTTTGTACATCAGTTGTTTCAAGAAGATAGTTTCTCTCCAGTCAACAACAGCAGCAGTGCATAATTTTGGTTTCATCGGCTCCATTCCAGCTTCGTTCGTTCGCGTCCTACTCCATGCGCCCCCACATGCGTCCCCAGCGACGGCGTCAGTAACGGCTGCAGCGAGGCGATGGCCAACGGCACTAATACCAACCGCACCAATCGTGACGAACCACCACCCAGCAGCCCTACCGGCACGTCCGACGTCGACGAGAAAGGGGAGGAAGAAGAGATTGGGATATTCGGTCGTCACGGACTGCTGGTCACCCCGCACGTCAAGACTCTTCTCACCCTTGGATGTGTGGTGCAGGTAAGGGCGCGAATGCACAAACCTATTTCGGCGCACCAACCAGCAGCACCGCCGGCAGCGATTGTTGGCAAGTAACATTTACGCCAGGCTCGCTGCCTAGTCCAAACTCACCGTTGGTGAAAAAATATTGATGATCGCTGACCGTCGTACGTTGTCGTTGTCGTCGTCAGGGCGTAGAATGAAGTGCTGTCCACTATTCGCGACTGACCCTTGGACAACGTCTCTTGTCTCTCCCTCGAAGGCGATGCCAGGCAGAGTAGCGGTCAGATATGGTGCGGCCGTGGAGCTTAAATTGACGTCGACCCTACGTGTTGATTTCGTTCTGAGCGCTTGGGGGTGCTACGTTCGAGACACTACCTTGCTGCGACCCCCCCGTTTAGTCTGGTTTGCTAAGAAAACGCGTACGTGCTGTGCTTCATCCAGGCCATGTGGGGATGCCTGGAACAGAAAGTAGCATGGGGCGCCAGTGCATGATATGGAATACCCGCGATCGAGGACCCCTACTCGTACGCATAGTTGACTCGAGAATGTCCTGTTTCACTAGTGTACACTCCCCCGTTGCCCTCACCACCACGTCCTCCTTCACGTGGCAAACCTACTCGAAACAGGCGCTGCAGATCGGCTTCGAAGAAGCGTACCCTCTTTTCGCGCTCAGTACTCCTGATGTGGGAGGACTTGGCTGGAACACCTTTCAGATCGGGAAGGTAAGGCTCTTTGTCGCTTGCCCATTCGTGGAGTGGGTGGAACACGATCCGGCAACACAGGATATATGGCGATGTTTTATGGCTTGAGGTCGAACCCGTCAGGGAAATCGACCGCACATGTGTGTTCTACATCATATGTGCCGATTTTGCGGCCAAATGACCCGCCGCCCGCTTGGGATTCCGCCGTCCGCTTGTGTGTCAACTACTTCATCGCCGGCGTACACTCAGGTCTTGGTCATGACAGGCCTCTTCATGGCCTGCTTCCAGCTGCTTCTTCTCCCACCCTTAATCAAGGTGGTGGGTATCACGAACTGGCAGCGCGTCGGATTCGTTGTGGGGGCGCTTGCATTCATCGCCATCCCTTCCGTGAGGTTGCTCAGCTGGAACTACCCCTCCCTCTTCTCGGCATCGGTGGCGGCCAACACTTTTGCCTCGTGTGGTCTAGCTGCGGTCAGTGAATGGGAGCGCGAGGGAGAGCGGAAGCACTTGACTCTTTCCGCATTCATTCACGTCGTCACGTGTTTTGTACGGGAGTCCCATTCAATTCCGCTATGTGTTCTTGATCATTCACACGTACCGACGGATGCCATCATCAACAGATTGATTCAGGCAAAGGATGCGAAACCCAAGCTAGATCACACCCACCACACAGCAGGTCAAAGCAACATCGACAACCCAATCCGTAGAATTCGTCGACTGTGCCCTTCCACCCTGCCCACAACCCTCTAACTAAACCGTCCCCGACGAACTCACAAATACGACTTATTCTTGAAGCGCGTGTAGTGATACTGCGAGTCATTGCACTTCCTGAGGTTGCCCTCGTCTACATGAGAACAAGAGTGTGCGCGTCGAGCGACATCAAACGGTACAGTTGCGGTTCTTAACCATCTACTCCGATCCCACGCGTTAACGCAAACAGGTAACCTTGGCAATGTCGGTTGGGTCGACCACTCTTGTCCCTTCAAGGATGCGCGGGAAGCTAGGTGGACTCTACAACATGGCCGAGAGCCTGGGCCGATTTTTGGGGCCGGCGGGGTTCGCCATCACGTATGCATGGTCTGTTTCTCCTTCCAGCTCTGCTGCAGGTTTCGATTGGGTGAATTTCCGCTTTGTGTTCTGGGTATCGGCGGTGCTCCTGGCTTTGTGCGCGGTGCTAGCATGGCCGACGCTAACTGCCGAGAATCTGATGCAGGGAGAAGTTGAGGACGCTGTCAGCGCGTCGATTACTCCCCATTCTTCAGGTTCTTCGCCGCGACTTGGACTTGGAAGGGTTTTTTTCCGCAATAAGAATGAGCAGCCTGACGCTGACGTCCACATTGAAGACTCTTTATTGTCGAGAGTAGAAATAGTGAAACGAGAGACGGACATGGTTTGAGCCAGCCAAAGTATTTTTAGACCGAGGTTTGCGCACGGGCGTGTTCAGTACTGAAATATTGATGAAATGCGTGTTGAGCGATTGCTCGTATTCAACAGGAGGCAGTGCACAGTGGCATCAAATGTGCTTTACATGTATGCATACATGCCGCTAGATCGGGGTTTCCATGATAAATGGCTTGGCCATGGTGAGTTTTAAAACAATTTTCGATGGGTTCGTTGATTTTCTCGTAACCTTTGGATCTGCATCTGTTGTTGGGTGGGTGGTGGTGATGGTTGTCCTTCGTCGATCCGGGGCCTTTCAGGGCGTTTCGCCGCATCAAAGCGGTAGCATTCGAACAAATGCCCAAATTCCGAGAACAGTATCAGGGAAAAGCTTGCATCAATACTTCACCGCTAACCAATCATCGGGTGGACACGCAAGACCAAAAACACCACACCAGGCAAAACAGAGTGGGAGTCCCAATGTGATGTGTTGAACTGTGTATCCACCGGGATCCTATAGGATGCTTGCTGGACACTGGATACCGTAAGAGTCGGAGAGATGGCACCCCCGTGTTAGCGTTTTTTTTGTAGCGTATTTCTCCACAACTAGGAGGGTCAACTGATACCTCTCAGGAAAAGCCTCGACGAGATCTTTCCAAAACCACCCTTTTCGGCAGTGGTACCCCCGTGGCTGTGGAGCAATACGCTATACAAAAACACTAACACGGGGGTGCCATCAATCCGACTCTTACGGTAGTATGCGTAGAGCAATAATGTACGTCTTTTCTTCAACTATCCACCTGAAGTGAGCAGAATGTAGTCAGCATGTGCACACGACGTGACGTGTTCGCTGTGTGTGGCGCGCCCGTTGTGTACAAGCGCGCAAAGATCGAAGACCCATGCGATACTTGGGCATGATTTCAACGAGAACATGCACCTCCCAGGGGCAAGACACTGACGACTACGGGACGTTCAGCCGGGGTCACACAGGAAGTTCACACGGTAGCTGTGATTGTACTTTGTTTAGATGGTCACATACGGTGTTTTGCTTAGGTGGCCCCAGTTTCTCCTGTCGCGGCGCCTGCCTCTTTGACTCCTATCGAAAAAAGGCTCCAGCTGTATCCTTCCCTCGTCGACCGTGTGCAGTTGGAGAAACGTCTTTGTATGTCCACGAATCAATCGCTTTCCACCGCAATTTGCGGTTTTATTTCACTCCAAAGAGGGATTTAATGTGTATTGTCGCAGGTATCTACCAACGAACGTGAACCACCTGTTTGCAAATCCAACGGTTTGTCGACTGGCTTGTCGCCGGCGAATCTCAGAGTGAGTGCTCTCAAGCTTGAGTGGAGCAGACGAACACCGCCGCAGCGGGAATTCAAGCCAATTTAAGGAAATCACGACAAACTCCCAATAACCGCTGCAGACATTGGATCCGAGTCAACTCCTGCAATTCACGACTACATACATTGCACCCCAAGTGCGCTTGGAGGTGGGCGCATCACCGCGATTGGGGGGGGAACATAGTACAATGCCGCTGTTCACTCTTTCGCTAGGCAAAATTCTTGGGGATCACCCTGCCTTGCGAGAGATACGAACGCCCCAACCAAAACCAATTGACGCCAGCGTATTTACCTTGTGATTCTGACCGTGCTAGTAACGCTTGGGTCGCAGCTATGTAAACATGACACAACAAAAGGGCGACAAAGAACGAGCGCGCGTCACAAAGGCATCACACAGGACACCCAGACTAATATGGTACAGTAGCCAATGGTGGCAGGCGCTGCTCAATCGCATCTGACGGACCAAATGCTCCCGGTGACTCCTAGCAATCGAATCACACCCGTACCCATGCCTTCGGAGGCCGTGTAATGTAGTGTTCACCATGACAACACGATAGCCACACGCTTCCTCCAAGCCAAGGGCTGACCAATTGATCCAGATTGATCCAGTCGAGGTCAGAGCGGTTTTTTCATATCCATTTACTGGTTGCCTGCTGTTGCTAATCGACTCGTTTTCCTTGATCGAGGCCGAAGAGGTCCGGCGGGAACTCTTCATAAATACGGCAGCTGACGTGTCCGCTGCGGAGGTCGTAGAGTCGCCAGAACCCCCCTTCCTCTCCTGTACACCCTCCCTCCTTTTCACCACCAATGGTGTCACTATTTCCTGGGAATCTCGCAGAACGCCCAACCCGGCGGCCGGCGTTGAGAAGCTCGAATCTCGGCAGGATGTTGAGGGAGTGGAACAGTTGGCCGAGGCCTACCCTCCCAGTCTTGACCGCCTCCGCGCACGCTGCGTCGTGCACGACCTTGACGTGGGTTCGTGATTTCAGCGCAAGCGTCACGACCACAGCAAACGCAGCCGCAGACGGGGCGTCATCGGGACGAGAAGGTTGACACGAGGTTTACGCGAGATTCAGCATGTTCGGCCTTGACTGTTTGCGGGGAAACACAAGGTATACCATCGATGCAACGCAGGTCTGTGGGAAACCCCGATTGGAGAGGCAGTCAGCTGACGAAGTACTCTCGAGGAACAAAAGAAAGAGAGACGACCACCACAGCCAAAACAATGTAGCTCTTTCGAAACGACCGGGGTGAAAGTTACCTGTGAATGCGTTGAATGGTTCAGCCTGGTCCTGGGAATGCCCACAAACATGTCAACATTTGGGAGAGCGGAGCAGATACGAAAAAATTGCCGGCCCTTAGTTTTTTTTATTTTATTTTTTTTTTGTTCCTCACTTCAAATCAGCGCTCACAGCACTAGTGCCGTTTATTCCAACCCGTGGTCACACAGAAGAGCCTCTCTCTACCCTCCCCTCCTGCGGTACTTCGCCTTCAATTTTTAATGCGAGAAGAGTTCAGCACTCTCTTCCCTCTGTGTACACACGAACTAGCGATATCCACTTGGCCAGGAGCGGAAGCGAGAGAAAAACTTACTTTGCAAGAAAAGCTCGCCTACGCCGGGATTCGAACCCCTGACCTGACCTCTAGAAGGTTACGAGGCTACCAACTACACCACCGGGGCGACCAGGTTGTAACACGCCCAAGGAAGCAGGCGATCCGCAAGAATCCTCCTCGTCGTGGGTGGCGCAAGCCATAGCAAACGCAACAACCATCTCGCCTGTCTGCAGTAGATGCCATCGAAGTGTCCCGTCAAGCTGGATGACCTGCCTTAATTGGTCATAGTGGCAGGGTTACGCCCCCGACGTTGCTGGTCTACGAAGAGACCATCCACTAAAAAAAGTCTCATGACGAACGCAAACTACCGCTTGGTCCATTCCCGCAAGAAGATGCTATATAAACGGAGCGCTGACTAGGGGCGACTCGGTGCAGAGCTTGGAAAGGATAAACAAGCAGGTTGTGTTCGATCACGTAGAGGTAGGTCAACAGGCCTACCCGTTGTAATCTCATAGAGAACTAAATACCTCGAGACACACTTCCTTCCCCATTGAAAAAAAAAAGGGTCCATCCGCTCGAATGCACCGCGACTTGAGCTCACCACGAGGCTCTTGGCAACACAAAACACGTGACCGAGGACGGAGATCTCCACTTCCCGTTCGTACACGCCCGGCCCAACCTCCGTGCAGAAGATAACGTCTACCGTTACCGGGGAGTTGTAGTAGGAACTGCCGGACAGGACGGAGGCGCAGACAGGGGGGACGGGGTCATACGCTCCGTTGTGCGCCGTTGTTCATGCACCGAGCGCTGGATAGCTGCTGCCCGAAAGCAGTCCTCCAAAGTGAAGAGCCCTCCTGGTCAGTCATGCCTTGTCTACAACCCTGGTTTACATCTTGCCTCGATTCCAAAATACGCTTGGATGTAAAGTTAGGTCGACGGACCCCTTCATTGATATCCGGGTGAATGGCCGCACAACGTTTCGACTGGAACGAATCCACAAAAAACTACCTAACGGAGAGAGGTGAAGAGAGGGGGGCAAAATGGAGTGGAGGACTTCGGACGGGGAGACGAGGGGCATCAGCTCCGCACGATACACAGTCGCTCGAAAGGTTTTACGTACCTGATGCATTCTCGGTATCTAATAGCTCAACAACAAGCACAGCGCAAAGGGAAGTAAGTGGGAATATCGCGGTCCACACCTGATGATTCGTTGAAGGTTGGCGTTGGCGGTCAGCACTACACGCTCCATAGCATCGAAGTGGCCGATGAGGTCTCCTTCTCGCCTCCCATCCTCGTCCCCCCCCCGCCCCCCGTTGATCTTCCGAAAAAACGGTGATCCGGCAAGGGCCGTCTCGAGGGTCTTCGTTCGTATCAATTTGTCATTGTTGAAGCGATGAAGAACGCGAGGCCAAAAGACGCGACAGGGGTCGAGACACAGAGAAGGAGGCAAGCAAATAAAAATGATGGTGACAAACAGGCAGAGAGAGGGCACAGGGAGAAAGCGAGAGAGGGAGGGCGAGCTCTACTACACAACCGCGGATGAGCTAGAGGGCAATACGAAACTGGCGGTGGCTTTGGCTTCAAAGCGAGGATGAAACAAAAACATGCAAAACAGACGCAACCAAAAGGAGTACGTTGGGGCTGAGCAGCGTGCCATCGTGGCAAAACGAATGACCGGGGAGGGAGGGCCTGTTACGAGTCGACTACCCCAGCAGAACCGAGGGCATGTGCCTCATGATACCATGAAGAATGAAGGCGCGCCAGCCACCGCCTCGGCTCGGGTTGGGTTGGGTTGGGTTGGGTTGGGTTCGGGAAGGGGCAGCAATACCACCAAAACGCATCCTATCACGATGACGACGACGACCACCACTACCACCCCCACTACATCTTTGAATGCCAACAACTACGCAAATACTCACAGTAAAACCTGACGTGGATGCAAAAATTTCGGACTGTAGGCCTACTTCCCGCGCGTGGCCGCCCCCCTCGCCGTTCAAAGTCTCCGTGGAACTGGTTATCAGGCCGTTAGTCGGCGTAACGTTGTTCTCGGGGTCCAATCTGCCGCTCTTGACGGAAAGCAAGGATCGGCGGCGCGAGCTTTTGCCGCCGCTGGTGCCGGTGTCACCAACACGGCGGGTGAGCGAGGAAAAGGCTGACGTATGGGTGAAACCGGCGGCGGGCCCGACAACGAAGCCGGGGGAAGGGCCACAGACGAGGAAGGCCGTGCTCGCCAGCTTCAGCGTTGTCGAAGGCCACGGAGGTTTCCGGACAGTAGGGGCTCGTTCACCTCGCCCTCTTCCCTCCGAGACCCTTCTCGCCCGTTTCTGAGGTGGGGGTGAAATCAACGTCCGAACAGCAACCGGGTTCGACCGGGTGCCAGAGGGATTACTGCCTGGGGACAAAAGCTCGGACCTCCTTTGGTGCAAAAAACATTGGGACGTGTGATGTTATCGCAAGGTACTGTAAGAGTCGGAGAGATGGCACCGGGTGCGATCGTTTTTTTTTTATGGTTTTTCCTCGGGGGGGGGGGTTCGCACCCCGGTGCCATCTCTCCGACCTCGGTGCGGAAATGCAATTAAATCACTTCGATTAGCTTCTTCAAGACACCCCCGGTGTGATCTCTCCGACCGGTGCGATCCCCGATGAAAAACATACAGGTGTTGTATGCACGCACCCCGATGTCATCTCCCCGACCGGTACCATAGTATGGATACCAGTGTAGGCAGACGGGGTTATGACATATCGCTATTTGACAATGCTATCAGTATAGAACCACACGTGTAGGTACCGTTCTTGCTGGTTGGAAGCACACCGGTAACGGTAACGTAGGCTGGTATGTAACAGCTTTCCATGCAGCGAGTGGTCTTGTGTTTGATGCGAGTTTGGCTATGGCGTGACGACAAACAAACGATGTCGTTTCCATCTCAGGTACGGGTACATATGGTATCAAATGTCTCCCGCTTTCGTTTCGGTCTTCCTCTACGGATACCAGTACGTACACAGCAGTACGATAGTGTCGTGTTTGTGTAAGGTGGGATAGGGTCCGGCTTGTACGTTTGTGTCTTCGGTTGACTAGAGTGTATAGTTGGCAACTTCTATACCAATAAGAAAAAACGATATATCAACTGGCATCCCGAGTGAACCCCGGGACCGTGCATACGTACATACAGGAGTGGCGCCGCTAACACCGCCCACATTTAGAATGTTCGCACATGTATGTACCCGGCAGCTGAAAAGGGTCTCAATCTTGGATAAGGGGTTGGAGAGACCGCACCGGGTGCGATCTCACCGACCCCGGTGCGAAAATCGAAATAAATCATGCCGTTCTTGTACTCTTTTTCTGCACCCCGGTGCCATCTCCCCGACCGGTGCCATCTCTCCGACTAATACGGTAGTTTTTGTGGTGTAGCAGATCTTCGCTGCAAGTGGTGGGATGGTCTTCACAGCTACCGTTCGTTATGCATGTTTGCACTTCACTGCGAACACCAGCACAGCCCGACCTTCGTTAGAATCTGGTCTGGGGTTGACGACGGCACTTGGCCGTCTCCACTTTCGCCACCAACAACTGACAGATGTATGGGGCCTGCGATGATGGGAAGGGGGTTCCAAAATATGATGCCAAAGCAAACGTCCATTGATCAACAGCACCGACGAGAATTTGAGAAATTGTCCGATGGACCACAAGTGAAATAGTGTACTGCAGTGTCAGACTGGACACATAACGTCGATATTAGGCTGGGCTTGCATAAGAATGGTATGCCGTCTCGCACCTTCATCCTGCTAAATGGGTGCAGCCTTACACCTTCGTTCTCGTTCTCCCCGGCGCTGTTCCTCTCGCCCTCCCTCTCCGTTCTTATTCGAAGTATGCCGTTGTGAGAACCCCCCAAAGACCGGTTTCTTTCGCCCAGAAGCAGGCTCTCTCGCGGCTCTTCGTCTGATTCTGCCTGTGCTGCTGATGCTGAGATGCTGGTGTGTTCCTGCTGCTTAGACGGTGGTGTAGCCTTGCGGGAAAACGCGGCAGGCCTTAGCAGACCGTCTTTGTTCCCCTTGCTTTTCTGCCGTTTTCAGAGATGGGTGCCGCTTGATGTGAATCGTAGTCTACCGCAGCTATTCCCGAACAAAAGCAGTGCGGTAGGTTTGACTCTCTTTTTGAACACACAGAGGATCTCCAATTGCCCGCCGGCAACGGCTGTCAGAGCTGTCTGTCTGACAACACGTGATTTGGAGCGGCAAAGAGCAACTTTCACGACGGGCGTTGAGCGTGTTCGCAATCTCTTTATCTCTCTCTCTCTCTCTCTCTCTCTCTCTCTCTCTCTCTCTCTCTCTCTCTACCCCCCTCTCTATCTCTCTCTCTCTCTTTCTTTCTCTCTTAAGCCAATCTCATTGATGGCAGAGCAGCAAAAAGCAGCAAGCAAGAGCACCATCCGTGGTGTCGCACCTATCGCAACGCGCAACGTCGCACGATGGAAACGTAACAATGCCTCGCCACGGAGCCCCCTGACAGTCCCGCCAACAAGAGGCGCCGCCACCACCGCGAAAGCAGTACCAAAGTGCCAAAGTAGCAAGGACCCCGTGCAGATTAACCCATGGCGACGGTGCAAGGAGAAGCAGTAGAGGAGTGGCTTAACGCTGCGGCGCAGTCTGCCGAGATGAGCGATATGAGGTGTGAGGTGTGAAGGCGTGGAGGTCGAACGGCAGTACAGTATGTATATCTGCCCAGCCGCACAGCATTTGTATTTGCCTGAACTGCTGTGTGTGGCTTGGTGTCGATCGAATGCTCAAGATTCCCTCCCACCACATTCGTTAATCATCACACCGCCGCGTTGATTTGCGGGTTGGCACCTGCTATGCTGTTGCACGTACAATAGCGATGTACCCGTTGGCATGCCTTGATGAGAGCTTGTCGACTGTCGACCCATCCTCTGGTTCCCGATCGGAGAAATTGATTTTTCCGCTGAATGTTTACTGCTCTTGCTGTATTTGCCCGCACGAGGACCTTTCGAACGTGTGAAAAGCTCCCCAATATACTTGCATGGTTGAAAGCATTGGGATCCCGTCATCACGAGATCGCGGCCTCGCAATGCTGCCGCGAAATCTCGTCGCCGCCAGAAAGAACCAGGGCCACCTCGCCTCTTTGCGCTGGACGCCGGTCCCCGTCCAGTTTGCGGTCCACCTGTGCTGTTGTGCTGCGTTTCACGGCGGCTCCGGTGTTCACTCTCCCCGGCTCGCAGCTCGTCAGTTAGAGAGGCAGGGGAACCACACAGGGTGCAGCAGTAAACTAGTTAGAAACTGCGATTTTCACCTTCCACGACAACCATACGTACGCACGTGTCCAGGGGCCGGGTTTTCGACGACCCCTTGCTCATTCCGCGGGTCATCGACATGGTCAAGAACGCCACCGGATCGAACGAGTTCATGACGAACACCAGCGCCAAAGGCGACGGCAGCACTTCTTTTCGGCCGCCGCCGCCGCCACCGCCGTTGCCATCTCGTGAGCCAAGAATCCATCATCACGGTGGGCACACCAATCGACAGCAGAATGGACAGGATTGCCGCGGAGGTATCGGGGACGAAGCCGCAACGCGCGCAGGTTTTACTGGCCGAGACTTGCCCCAAGACCCCGCTTTCGATACGCCACCACCCCGGACACCGCCCGCCGCCGCGAGAGCGCTCCGTCGGGCGTTCACCTTTTTGAGAAACGCCTGTGCCGGGTGCCCGGGCAACAACCACGCGCTTCGCCACACAGGCCTTGCAGAATCGGCAAGTGTTTTTTCCAGGACAAGGCCTCGAATGCATTTCCAGCTCTAATGGGGATCATTGTGGATCCGCTGTTTGCTGTATAGGTTACGGTGCCACCTATGTCAGGAGCGGTGGTGCGGTGAATGGCGGTGATATCGTTGTTCGGGTTCGCTTGTTTCGCATCGACTGCTACTACCACTCTTTCATCCCCTCGTGATGCGCGTCTTGTAATGTTGGCAACCACCCGGTCGGCTGCTTCTTGTGTTTCGAATGATTTACTCACCCGCGGGATGTGGGTTTGGAGCCGCCTCAAGTATCCGTCAAAACCTCAGAGTGATGTATCCGCTCGGCAATCCGTTGGCTGCTGTGTTCATCGCACACGATTGTTTGATTGACCGAGCAAGCCCTGCAACTCCAAAGGCCTTAGATGGGCGATGGATAGCCTATGTGTTGTTTCTTGGCTGCAACGACCCTGTGCAATATGTGACAGACATCAAACCGCGTTTTATTCACCTCGACTTTTCAGAGAGAATTACTCCAAACCTTGTTGGGGTGGGCGCGTGACGAGTGCATAGAAGAAAGGGGTTTCCAAGAGGAGATGGGGAGATCAGAGGACGTGATTGTTTGCATCTCTCGAAAAAGCAGGCATTGGAGGATATCGTGGCCACATTAAGGCTCGAGAAGGAGAAAAGAAAGGACATCGACATCACATGCTGTAGCGCGAAACATTCAGATTGTCAATTGCGTGGATGCTCCGTTTCGAGAAAGGCGCGCAACTCATGGGTACCCATCCCAGAGTTTGAAGTCCACCTGCAGCACGCCGTAATGGACTTTCTAGGACGCCGTGAGTGCCTCCAACATGTGCCGTCCCCACCCCTGTTCTGCTGGCACCGACACAAAAAACAACCTCAATGCAGGCGCTCCAATTCGCCGTGGATCAAGCCCCTTTCGCCTGTGCAACGACGTCCCACCCCGCCGCAAGAACTGCGGAGTGTCAAAGCGAGGTGGGGGATGCGTCAGACGTCAGGCTCGCGGTTCGAGCCGGTCTGCAGTTTGCTTACAACTACTGCGCCGGCAGTGAGGAGAGCAAGGCCTCGCTGTGGGCCGCGTGGTTCCCTCGGGGTCTGATGGTACGTGCGAGCGTTTCCTAGTTTTTCGTTTTTGCGGCTGAACGAGTTTGATATCTTGGTACACAGCGGAAAATCCGCGAAACCGCTCCAATCAGAGAGAGAGGGGGGGGGGGGGGGGGTGAGAAGAAGAGGGGCATCAGAGTCTTGTTTCCGCGCCATACGTTGACGCCCTTGACCGCCTTGCCGATTCGGTTGGCACGCGATGCATGCTTGCATCCCATGGCAGGAGCTGGTGAACGAGCTCAAGACAGACCGCGGCTTGCTCTCTCTCGCGGTCGCGTTGGTCCACAACTGCTGCATTTCGCCCCCGCCACGCGAGCCAAGAGAGGACGATGGTAGCCCCCGAGAAAGCAACAGAGACAACGGGACAGGAGAGGCCGGCGGAAAGGAGGCGGGTGGGGGAGAAAGAAGTAGAGGCCGAGAGAGACTCGATCTCCTCTCAGCGGACAAGGCGTTCTGTTGTCTTCTCATGAAGGTGATATTGTGTTTTTTCCAACCCCGCAGTCATGGATGCGGATGCGGGCCACGCGAATTTGAAACCACGTGCTTTGTGTGCAAGTCTGTCGAAAGACGTGGCGCTGCGAGGGCGAAGACATCAAGGCAGGCGTTTTTCGTCCGGCGATTTGTGCTTTACAGAGTATTGCCGGAGGTATATACGGTAGCACTTTCGTTAGGTCGCTCGGCGTATGGACGGGTCCTCGGGGAAGTTCCAGGCGTCGCGAGAGACTAAACTCGAGCCAGCTACTTAGTGGGTTCACCCTACCCCTACCGTTTATCGTGCCATGTCCCTTGCTAAAGCTGTTGAGTTTTTTGTTCCTGTAGTTTGAAGTATACAACGGTTGTTTCGTGGAACGTTTGTTGCGCGTGCTTCCGGGGGAGTGATCCCGGCGCTAGGTAGACCTGTTTTCTTCGCTCGGCATGTAGTCACATGCCCCGGCAGATATCACGAGATCTTCTCGCTGCTGAGGGGGACTTGGACCACAGAGCACGTACCCCACGACACGTGGTCCCTATTGCGTTCTGCTATTTTCACTTGCCCGTCTCTTCTGCGTGAGCCCGCCTCCTTCGACGCCGTCCAATCTGTGCTCCCTTCGCCCGTTTCGTCAATTGGCCATTGCACTTGTTCGAAGGTCGTCGTTACCCCGAGCAGCGGCGGTGGCGAGTCCGAGGGCGCCAGCGGTAGTCAAAGCCGTGAAAGTAGTGGCGGCGAACGCGATGACGACCCCGCAGCAGAGTGGCTGTACCTGCTGTTTTGCTGCTTCGTCCAAGAGCGCCTGTGTCGCCGCGTCTACGACAACGTGGGTATTCGGGCGGGGAAGAGAACAAAGCGGCCACGGCGACAAGGTGGGTGCGGAGCAGTTGTTGTGGGCTCGGCGAGGGTGGCGCAAAGCAGCGGGGAAGAAGATGGAGCGGCGGCTGGCAGCGGCAGTGTGCGTGCCATGTCTGGCGTGGGGCGGGGGGAGGAGAAATGGGGAGAGGGCGGCAAAGGGAGAGTCGACGAGGCGGAGGAGGAGGAGGAGGAGGAGGAGGAGGGTGGCGATGAAGGCTTCTTCTTCCCCGTGACGCCGGAGCAGCTCATTGTGCTGAACCTGGCGGAACTCGCGACAGGCAAGTGTGGCTGGAATTGTAGAGCTCCTTTAGTTGATGAAACAGAAACCTGATTACAGTCTCCTGTGGTTTAGCAGCGAGCGTGCGTCCCGCTAGGGCGAGCGTGATAAAAGTGACAATAGTAAACAGACTATCTAGCAACTTTGTGTCTGGTCGGTGCGAACACGATCACGTGCGCAGTGTCAAAGGACGGATCGAATTTGGCGAAGCTATCCCGAACATGTGCACACCAGTGCAGATTTTTGGCGAACAAGTAGAACCGTCGAATCGCCCGGTGCAATCACCACCATTGAACGGTTCTTGCTTTTTTTTTGCGTTGAATTTCAATTGTCCCGACTTGGGTTGCGTACACCACCAGCTACTTCTTGCCAAGAACCTCAACTGTTGTGGTACCTACGTTGCCATCGATGAACACGCCAACACCCCGTTGTGGTGAAGCTACTGCACTTTTTTCGTCTCCCACGCTGCTCATTGTCCTCGCCTTCCTTGTCCGACCGCTGTTGGCGAGGCAGCCGACGAGGTGGTCACCGGCGGCGAGCGCCCCTGCCCCCGGCAGCGCCAAGCCTGCGGCGCTCTCGCGGCATGGCTGACGGGGCTCCTGTCGGCGATTCCTCTCAGCCAGTCCCTGCTCCCACGGACCGGTACCGCCCAACCGCCACCGGCGGCGGAGGCGAAGATGCCGGCAGCGGCAGCAGCAAGGAAACCGCCGTCTCCATCATCATCGGCGGGGCACGAGGAGCGGGGCGACGGGGTTGCCACCGACGCGGAGACGGAGCGGGTGCGGCGGAGCATGCGCGAGGAGGCCAGGTCCGCCGCTCTAAGGGCGCTGGCGGCGCTGCTCGCGGGGTGCAGCGACGAAACCCGGCAGCAAATCGCCGCCGCCGCCGCCGCCGCGACGGAGACGGGTGCGGAAACAACGGCACCGGAGAAGGTCGCGCCACCGACAGCAGCGGAGGAACCCCAGCAGCCGACGACTCTGGGTGTTGCCTCGGGTGAAGCGGAAGAAACGACGAGATCAGCAGCGAAGGTGACAGCAGCAGGGAGTGGTGGTGCCAGCGAGGGAGAAGGGTGTGAGGTAGCGAGGGTGCCGAGAGTCAGCGAAGATGGCGGCGGCGGGCGCGGTGGATCTTTACCGCTAACGCCGACGACAGCGACGCCCGTGATCGCGCAACCCGAACCCCTGGGACTCGTCCCTCTCTGCTTACGGCTTTTGCATGGTTGTGGGGGCGCCGCCGAGCCCAATCCCGCAGCTAGCAGCGGCCAGTTCTCCCGAAAAGAAGGGTCGACGGCTTCGGCAGCCGTAGCCACAGGAGCCGGAGACACGGCGCCCAACGGTAGCCACCATCGCGGGGAACTGCCGGACGGGGCGGTACCGGCCGGGCGCAAGGTAGAGCTCTTGAAGGTGATCGGCAACGCGTGCTTCCGGTGCCGGCGGTCGCAGGACCTGGTGCGGGAGGAGGGAGGGCTGCCGCTGGTGCTAAATCACTGCAAGGTGGATGAGGCGAACCCCTTGCTCAGGTAACTGCTGCCTGCGTTGGTGATGGCGTTGATAAGTAGAGACTTTTGACCCTAACGTTGTGTCCTACGAGTGGGTTTCCAGGAGAGCACCTCCTTTCATATTTTCGGCAAACAGCAGTTGCCCTCATTTTGCTGTGTTGTTTTATGGTCGAGAGGGTTGGCTTTCGGTGCGCTGGCGTACGGATGCACATGCGGTCGGATGTTATTTTCAAGGAGCCGCGTTGGCCCCATTGTAGTTGAGGCAGGATCCTTGTTACGGGAACGCACATTATGTTGGTGCGTCTCTTGTTCGAGCGCCTCAACGGGCAAGGCGGCTTCATCGCGAGCAAATTGTGCTGTGCGTCTCGAGTTTTCCCGTAGGTGCTCGACTTGTGGCACGTAACGTTTCAGCGGGCTTTCCCTCACTCCCCTTTGCAAGACGCTCGATAATCGGACAAAGCTCCCTTACACAACTTCACTTATGGTGTATAGCCTCAACGCCCTTCTCCTCCCCCTTACCCCCGTCCTGCCCTTTCCGTACCTCCGTTGCCATCTCTGCCTCACTGCTGCTTCTCTTACCGGCTCTATCTACACTCCCGTTCGGGACTCGATTTTTACCCATCTCCGGCCGGTCTACCGGATACTCTCCTTTTTCTCCGCCCGGGGTGATCTCTTCCTCCCTCATACCCCACCTTGCTGGCGCGTTACTCCCCGGGCTGACGACCTCGAGACCTGCAGAGAGTACGCGCTGCTTGCCTTGCGAAACCTCTGCGAGGGGAACGCCGCGAACCAGGCATCTATCTCCTCGCTGCAGCCTCAAGGATGCACCCCCGGCATGGAGGAAGCCCTGGCGGACATGGGGCTCGAGGGCAGCGTGAACGCTGAGGGGAAATTCGCCGTCGGCCCTCGACCCACCACATCTTGAAGTAGATAGGGAGAAGTGACACATGAAGGTTTAAGTCTTGCTGTAGGGCGTTACATGTTTGTAGCAACGTTGCAACGTTTGCAGGGTTGGGGAATGAACCGCGCGGTTGGATGGCACTCACAGGTAGGGGTGTGCCAATCGTAGATGAAGCGCCCTTGTACCAATTGCCCCTAAGAGTGACCGTGCCCTATTGGCCACAACGGCAGGTGGACTTTGGCTGCTATCATTGTAGATGTCGGTAGTTTGTTATTCTGTTGCGCTCACTGTGTCCCATACAGTCGTTTTCTTGGACTGCTTCCGGTAGCGGATGTACCACTCACTCATCGAGAACGGAGATATGAGCTCTCGAGTTTTTTTCTTTTCTCTAGCCCAAGAGAAGAACGTCAACTGTGTGCGTCCCTGGGTGCTTGTGAACCCACGAAGACTGTATCGGCAGCGTTGACAAGAATGAGACGTGGGTGACGTGGAGGCGGTACACCAAGAGTTGAACGATGCGACGAGCTTGTGCGACAGGAATCTTGTCCTATATTCTTATGCCGCTGGATGATTTTCGGCTGCGTCCTTCGCCGCCGTTTTTTTAGCGTGGATATAAAAGTGGGTTGCTTCCCCGCTACGTAGTCCAACTTGGCACATGCAAAGGAAAGTGTGTTGGCTGTAGAGCAATCATCCTGTGAAGGCCGGCCAAGAAGCGAAGGGTATGTTAGTAGGTACTACCATCTCTGATCAAACTGGTGCCGACGCCTTGCTGTGCTGGGCACAGGTTTATTCCTGCCCACGCTCATCGTCACCGCTGGCCTGTCTGTCGCCCCGACCACCACCACCGTTTCTCTTTACACTCGGCCACGTGAATCTCCACCGGTGGCGTATTCCAAGAGAGGGAGTAGCACAGAGTCGCTGTGAACGCGGAGAGCATGAAGCAGCGTATACTGCTGTAGTTTACCCAGCCAACGAACGCAGCATTAAGTGTTTGGGCGGCCGACAGCCCGAATCGGTTCCAACGCTTGTCCTACTCCGGTGGTTAACCAACCTCCAGTGAAATTCTGACATCTGCCTGGCGTCTGCTCATATCTCCTGCTCGAAATGCTTTTTCCCCATGCACATTAAGTGCCATGTGAGATATGGTACTGTAGTTCAGTAGTGCACATCCCAGGGATCGGCCTGTGTTTGAAAAGGTGGAGAGGGCTGGCAGTTTTTGGGAAGAGGAGAGACGCTCAGCGATTCCTGCTGCTTCCTTCGCAATAATTCGTCAGGATCTGTTCACCCACGAGAGACACCTCTACATAGATGGTTTGCAAAATCGACAGGTGCTCGCCTCTGTTTCAGTGACGCGTTTGGTCCGGTAGCTGTAAGCGAAGATTCATTCACGCGCGTGCGAAAGAATAACACCCACCGGGTTACGCAATGGATACACACCGTTGGTATTTGTGGGATAATGGAATGAACGCATGAAACGTACATGTAGTTCGGCACCGATTGGATGAAGATGGGGCTCGGCTTGATTGCTCGACGGACAAGGGAACGGGAAGGAGAATATTTTCCAAAAATTGAAATATTCGAAGAGCCAGACAAAAAAAATCGACGATGTAGTTCTCCTTACCTAGCCTACTGGTCGTTGGCGTTCTGCCATCCACTGCAATGGGAGAGTTTGGTTATTGCTTGACACATTTAATAGTCCTCGTGTGAGTACCAAGGCACGATGCGCTTTGGGGGAAAAACTACCGACATGAGGGAGGTGAAATATCTTTCCCGATCGAGTGATGATGAGGTCATATGCAGCTCCTATCATCATGGCAGAAATGTTGAAATGCCATCGTTGCTGAAGCGCGTGTTGATGAGTGGGAAAAAAGTGTCGCAGCCGGTCTATTGCGCCTGGTGGGGAAGTGACTTGGAAGATCACCGGATGCCACACCCGTGCCTGCACCAAACATTCTTAGAAGGAGGACTACAGTACACGACGGTACCTGAAATTCCAAGCAAAAATTCGAGGAGGAATGGTGGCGACGACAGCAGGTGGTGATGGTGAGGGACCAGCTGTCGATAAACAACGACGACCAATTGCCGCTGGTGTTATTGCATGACTCGTGTTATTATCACGATTGGGAGCTCCAAGAGGTTTGGAGTGAAACGGCCGATGACTGAGTCACGGCAGTCTGGTGAGGGTGATGAAACAAGATTTTGAAGGCACAAGCCAAACGTGGATCTGTCACAAATGTTGACCTGTTCATTTCTTTCACCATCTTGTGGGTAAGCGAGTGAATGAGTGAGTCAGGAAGTGAGTTAGTGAGTGCGTGTGCGTGTGTGTGTGTGTGTGTGTGTTTGTGTGAGAGTGAAGTAATGAATGCGTGAGTGAATGAATATGTGAGTGGACGAATAAGTGAGTGAGCGAGTGAGTGAAAATGCAGGTGTGTGTAAGGGCATTTAGTTTATGAGTGACTGGGAGTGCACGTGTTCGCTGTGGGTGTGGGTGAGTAGATTGCCAAATGTAAAGGGTGTAGCGTACCGTCGTATCTGCCAGCCCTTGTTTCACAAAAATATCATCTCCTCGTCAGGATATTTTGATGTTTTCTTTCCCACCCCGTGAGCAATGAAACTCCACGTCATGTCCAAGAGTGAGTCCATTTCTTCATGCTTTCCGGGCCAAAATCATTCTTCGGGAATACCTCCCGTTCGAACTATTCCTCGCACATATCTAGCCGTTGTGCGCATAGAGGAACCACGTTGGTTCTCCACTACAAAAATTCTCGCTCCCAACATCCAATGTCACTTTCACCATTTTTTCTTGTATTCCCTCGGGTGGGATCTTTTCGGGATTGAGTTCAACATTCAAACCGGTTTCCGCGGAACTCTATTCCATCGCGTCTACTTTTTACGAAGTAGTTTCATGGGGGTGCTAATATTCTTGTTTTGGACAGTACTCTTTTACGTGCCCGTATGGTCCGTCCAGGAAATGGTATTCATTTTGGTTTGTTGGTCACAACTTTCCGAAATGATTCGAATATGAGGGAATTTCAGCCACGCTCGTGATCCCCACATCAAGGACAACACAAAAGGTTTCAAACAACAAAAAAATTGCACAGCACTAGGTCATGTCATTCAAAATCTCGGTTTCGCAATATACATGTGGAATATCTCAAAAATATTTGGGGGGTTACATGATCCGAAAGACTCGTGTTCAGCGGAATTTCGAGGGGAATCGTTTGCCGCTGGAGGTTGCGAACAAAATGCCCTTCCAGATTCGGTTTAATATGGGGTATAACTTCGTTGTTTCTTGATAATTTTACAATCGGAAAAGGGCGACACCTAAATACTAGCAAATTCCAAGAGCTGTCGAGATCCAGTCTCAGGTTTTCTCTGAACGGTAGACCTTCAAGTAGATAGGGACCATTTTTTTCGGGAAAATTCTAAATAACCTGTCGGAACATTAGAAATCGAACTTCAGATTTATTTTTGGGCCTGGAGACAACTTTTTACTTTTTAGTTCGGAACAACCACCTACCCCGAGAAAAGTGCACCTGAGTGCAGGGCGGTAAAGTGGGGAAAATGTCCGCAACGGACCATAGGACGGAGCAATATTCCTTCGAAGCCGGCGCAGCATCAGGTTCGGAATCGAACGCGAACCTCGTAGCGACTGAACTCGAGGTAATCAGAATTCATGGGATACTATGTTGAGCGCGCATGCGGGAACACCAATCGTTACTGGGGTTAGAAAGGAAAACTTCGTTGTCAAGAGGGGATTCAACGACATTTGCTCAAGTTCATTGTATTTTGGAGGTCAAGCAAGGCCTCTCCGTCCTCTGTTGCTTGGGAGGGTGCCTGCGCCAAGATGCGGTCAAACTCAAACCATTTTCAAATCCAAGAAGTTGCGCAGCTGCACCACTCAAAGGCCGCGTGCGGGTAGGAAGGGTTAGCTGTAGTTAGCAGGACCTGGAGCATCCCTCGCTCGCAGGTCGCCCGGCACATGTACGAATATTATTACATGCCCGCCGCTCGAACGTGTGCCTTCCCTTTTTCTCGAGACGCCAGGGGCTCACATCCGTGTGTCGTGTGTCGCGCGCGGGGAAATGCCCGCCGTAAGAACAAAGTTCGCGTGTTTTGAATGTGCTGTACATGGTGTCCTTTTCGACGTCGAATTCACTGTCTAGCGGAATGTCACCCTGTCTGTCCACAACTTTAACAAACACGCCACTTCCCGCTGTTGCGAACTTCACGACAAACAATAGGTCAAAAAGTATCTCCCTAAATAGTACCTACACTAACGAGCCTAACGGTAAATCCTGCGCGAATGTCGCACTTCATGGTAAACCCCTCCCCGTCGTGACGTGATTTGAAACGCGCGTTTTGTACAGGGCCACTGAGAAAGAAGAAGCGCCTACACACCCTCTTACGCCTGGTATCCCATCGAACACTATCAAACACAGGATTCGTGGCCGATGGTTGAAAAGCATGCAGCACGTAATTTACGGCGGAAGGGCAACGCGCTGTCCGCCTCAGTCCCTGCCCATCATCCCCATCATCCCGAACTACCACCAACGTGCTTCAGAGCGGCAAAAGGCAGGCTGGCCTCATCGGCTTCTTCATCAGAGTGAACAAAAGCACCGACACTGGAGTATGTACTTACAAAAAATCATCGCCTAGGGGGGGCGGCTACCGATGATACATAACAGGGCTAGATGCGGGACCTGTCGCAACAATGCGAGCGCCGGTATGCGCATGCCCAATGAAACAGAGCGCTCGCAACAATGAGAGTGCCGGTATGCACATGCCGAATGAAACAGAGTGCACACACCGCCACACATGGAAGATCTCTTCAAAGGCGCAAAGCGCCTCGTGCCGCGTGGGGGATGGCTGCTTGTCACGCGAAACACACACGCGCGCGCGCTGACGTACACACGCCTCGAGGCAGCGCTCGACGTTCAGTGCATGCATTACCTCCTGCCTTCCCCTGCTGAAGGTGCTCAGAAGTATCGGCGGCTCATAAAGAGGACTCGACACAGGAAGCGAGTCTGAGATTTCGAAAGGAAAAAAAACAGACTGCGTCAAGCCTCAGCGCCACGTGGCAAAACCATAACCAACCCCGCACGCATGTGATTGCCCAATGCCCAACCTCAGGGCTAAATTCGCTAAATAGAAGTACTACTAAATTACGCTAGGGCAGAGCCTCGATGTGTGAACTCTCGAGAGCGGGTCTTCTCGCCGGTCCCCTCGGCTCACGCATTTGGTAGCTCACATCTTAATCTTGTGCCTTTGAGCGACCTGAAGGTGAGCAAACAAGCCGATTCGGGACAAGAAAAAAAAAAAATGGGCCTGAGAACGGGCGGCGGCGGGATACGCGTGAATTGAAAGCTCGTCGTTCGTATCCCTTTAGTTGCCGACCTCAAGCAAAAATCGACAAAAAAATGTCTATCTCACCTGCCATGACGCTTATGTAGCCACGGCACATAGTTCCCGAACACAAACAGCAACAGTCGACTTCATTCGCCCCCGAAAACAGCGTACCATGCAGTCCCGACCCCATGAGGGAACCCTACCAAGCTCACCTCGTCAAACATGTTCGGGAACGCGAAGCGGACGCTCAGCGGCGGGGCCTTCCCCTTGGGCACCTCCATCTGCTGCGCCATCTGGAGGGCGCCGGCCTCCAGCCGCTGCCTTCCGAGCACCTCCCTCAGCAGCTCCTTGTGGTCGGTGATGACCGCCCTGATCTGCTCCTGCCACCTCAGCGTCGCCTGCTGGACCTCCTTGCTCGTGCACCGGCTCAGCCCGCCACCGCCACCGCCGCCGCCGCTGCCGCTGCCGCCGCCGCCGCCGTTGCCACCAGACCCACAAGAGTCGCCCAAAATGGTGCCAAGGACGGTGCCCTCCCGCCACCGCGTCTTCAGGCGCATCTTGAGGGTCTGGACCGTGCGGCACCCGCTCCGGAGCTCTAGCCCCTCGGACTCGACGGCCTTGTCCAGCTCCACCAGGTCCACCGCCGCCAGGAACTGCCGCCGGAGGTTGTCGTGCTCGGCGAAGAACGACCGGGCGGCGGCCTCCCTCTCCAGGCACTGGTCCCCGTACAGCCGGTCGATCGCGCTGCCGCCGCCGTCATGGGGCTGTTCGGCCGGTACATAGCCCCGTTGTTGACGCCCCAACGGTCGTTCGCCTTCGGTCGTCGCCCGCCTCGTCTCCTGACGTCCCATGTCGATCACGCACTCCAGCGGCGGCGGGAACACGTCGTGGCCCTTCGGTGGCGACGGCCTCGCTTCCTTCGTCCCGGCTTTTCCGGCTCTCTTTTTCGGTGCCTTCTTCGCCGAACCCCCGCCGCCGCCGCCGCCGCCGCCGCCGCCGCCGCCCGTGCTTGCCCCCGCTTCCGCCGCAGACGATGCCGCCGGCAGAGCAGGGCCCGCCGGCGGCCTTGTAGTAGCTTGCTCCTTCCTTTCCTCTAAAGCTTCCGCCTTGGCAACGACATCGCCGCTGCCCGGTGCCGCTCGATTCTTCTCGGCGACGGGTTGCACCGTTGCGGCGGCGGCAGCGATGGTTCTATTCTCAATCTCGACGTCCATCGGATCGGCGCCGCCCGCCACGCCAACCACCGTAGATCTCGCAGATCCCCCAACGACCGCGGGCGGTGGCGCACCAGCCGTGGGAAGAGCGTCGTCGGCAGCAGGCGCAAAGTTACTCGCTGTTCCCGGCGGCGATGTTTCCATGGCGGACGGCCGGTTTGTCGTCTCGGGCCCGCTGTCAGCCGCCGCCGTCGCCCGAGCGGACGTTCCCGCTTGTGCCCCAAGCGAGCCGGCAGCGGAAGAAGCTTCCGCCGCCCCGGAGACCCTTTCCGCCGGTCCTGAGCGCCCCTTGTTCGTGGTGGTAGTAGCCACAGATGGAGCTGCCGTTGAAGTATCTCCCGCACGCACGCCGCCGCCGCCGCCGCCACTGGTGCTCCCGCCTAAGCTAGCGGCACCCTCGCCAGTCGACGCGAGAGCACCCGCGGGCTCGGTCGTGGCTGAGGAGTCGGCGTGGGCACGAGCAGCACCGCCGCCGTCCGCAGAACCGCCCATCGGAAGAACCCCTTGTTGCGCCGCGTTTTCTTGCGGCGATGGGACAGCTCCGACGGCAGCGCCAGCCAGCGGCGGCGACGACGAAGGGCCTTCCGACGATCCGCCTCCAGCCGACACACACCCCAAAACGCTCGCGGGCTCATCTTTTCCCGGTCCTCCGGCACTCTCTGTCTCCACCGCAACGTCTCCAGCCACCACGGCGGGGCCAGGCAACGATGGCGTAACCGCCGACGTACTACCCCGAGCGGCGACCGCCGCCGATGCTTCCGTTGCGGGCGGCGAGGGTCTGGAGGAGGAAGACGCTGGTACCAGCTCCGGTTGCGGTGGTGTCGGCGTCGGCACGACCTCCGCTGCCGCCGGCTTATCGGCTCCGCCCCCGTCGCTATCGTTGCTGTTGCCGCCGCCTCCGCTCTCTTCTTCGTCTCCTGACAAATTGTCGTCGTCGTTGGCGCCGTCACTGCTATCGCTGCCGCTCTCGTTGCTTCTAGCATCGTCGGCATCAGCAGACGCCGCCGCGGCCGACAGCGTGTGCGGAAGTAGCCTCAACCCCGCTCGGTATCTCGCCCGTGCTTGCTCCAGGGTGATCGGTGTAGTCTGCCGAGTGTACAATGGGGAAAGACGGCGGGGTACGTTAGACATGGTGGACGAGAGTGGGTTAATGACCCAAGGGGCCAGGTGGGAACAGCCTGTTGCAAGTGTTGGACAGCAGGAAGCGCGCGCGTAGAGAAGGGGAGAGCGGAAGCGATGACGGCCCATAGGAAGGCACACAACACAGTAGGGTACTTGCTTTTCGTACGCTGATCATCAGCAGCGTGACCAGTCCTTCAACCCCAACAAGACCAGCCAGCCCGTGTACCGAGAACACGCACGAGGCTCCGAGGTGCGACCACAACACACCTTCTCCGCGTCTTCTCCGAGAAAACGCAAGACATAAAAAAGGCCATCAACCTGAAACAACAAAAACGCACGGATGGTCTGCGAAAAAAAACAGTTGTACGTGTACACGCGTGTTGTGTTGCTGTCGTCTTCACGTTAAAAACGGTTCCGATCTCTCTACCCTTGTGCTCTTGGAATACACTATCCACGGTGCAGCTCTGTCTCCTCCGCTCACCTCCCGATCCCTCCTCGTCCTGCGCGTCTCCAGAAAGGCCACCAGCCCCGGGGGCACCACGGGGGGCTCAACAAGCTCGTCCTTCTCCTCGACGCGCACCACCCTCAGCTCCTCCGCCTGCTCCCCGCCTCCGGACAGCCAGCTCGAGCCTATCCCCTTGACGATGGACCCCATGTCGAAGATGCTGCCGCTGCTCCGAAGGGTGCGCGCGGCGATCCTAGACCGACGATCTCTAAGCAGCAGCTGGTCCCCGCCGCCGCCGCCGCCGCTGCCTCCTCTCGATCCTCCGCCTCCCCCGTCTGCGTCGCCGGAGGCGGAGGAGGAGTTAAGGCGCCGAGCCCTGCCGCCGCCGCTGCCGCCGCCGCCGCCGCGGGAAGTTGTTGAGGTACCTTCTTCTCCCGCTGCTCCCGATCCTCGCCGCCCTCTCTTTGGCGGCGCTGCCGTTGTCGGAGTGGAATTCTGTGCCTAAAACGGTTCATCATTGGAATTCCAGAACACGGTGAAGGGGGCAAAGGGGGGGGGGCAAGAAGAGGCTTTCCATGAAGCAAAATGCGACGTCCCAGAGCAATAATATCAATCACACAACCCATTTTATGCATGCTCGTGTTGGCGATCAGGAGTTGAATCTACGCGCTTCGAATGGAAAAATATCAGCAACGCGAGAAAACACACCCCATGACTACGGCAGCCTGACAAGCCACGTTCTTTCGCCCGCACATGGGTCATGTCATGATACAGAACTCCTGTGGTTCCACTAACAGCAGCAAATGACTACCCGGCCTGTTGTGGATACCCCATTGCCAATGCCTCGCAACCACCCGGACAAGCTCAAATGTTCAATCGTCCTGACGCGTGAAACGTTTCCATTGGCCTGCCCTCACCTCTCTTTCGTCCTGCTCGCCCTCCTCGTCAGCCGCCTTGTCCCGCTGGTCCTCGCGTGCTCTCTTCTTTCCCGGGCGTTTTGCAGGTACCGCTGAGGAATCTACACCGCCACCACTAGCTCCGCTACCAGCACCGCCGCCGCCGCCGCCGCCGCCACCAGTAACACCACCGCTGCCGCCGCTAGCAGCTCCACTACCACTACTGTCGCCGCTGCCGCCCCCTCCAACAGTACGACCAACAACACCACCGGTGGCGTCACCAATAGCGCCGCCACTGCCACCGCCATCACCACCACCGCCGCCGCCGCCGCCGCCGCCGCCGCCGCCACCGCCATTGCCACTATCACCACCACCCACACTTGGTCTTTTTTCGCCTCTGTCTTCTCTGGGCTTGTCTTGCTTGGCTACCTGCGCGTGTTCGCGTACAGCCGCTCCGGCAGACGCCGCCGGCCCCGCCACCGCTGCCGCCGCCGCCGCTGCCGCCGCCGCATTTGCTGCTGCTGCTGCTGCTGCCGCTGCTGCTGCCGCCGCCGCAACCGGCCCAGAAATCTCTCCGCCGCCCGCGGTCACATCGCCGCGGCCACCCGCTGCCCTCCCGAGCTGGTCTCGGTCGAGGCCCGACGCCGTTCTCCCTCTCGCTACCGCCGGAGCCCCGGCCGACACCGCAGTCGTCGCCGCCATCGACCCCTTCCGGGATTCCTTCGAGCCCGACCCCAGCACCCCGACAATGCCAACCTCGAAGCCGAGCTCCGCCAGTCCTGCCACAGCGCTGCCCCGCCTCCTCTCGCCGAGATCTTCCTTGGCCCCGCCGCCGCTAGCGGCCCCGCCAGCGCCGCCAACAGGCCCAGCAGAGCCCTTTCCTGCCGCGGGCGCCGACGTGCCACCGGCGGCCGTCGCTCCGCCACCGCCGGTACCCACCCGACCCCGCCCGGCCCCTCCAGACCCCGCTCCGGCGCCCCGTTTTCTTCGCCCCCCACGCGAGCCCGCTGATCCCGGTGACGGCCCTCCGGGGATCATAGGGGCACCCTGCTGACCGCCGCCACCGCCGCCGCCGTCGGCAGCGCCGGTCTTGCCGTCGACGCCGCCGTCGACGCGCGTACGCTTGCGGCCGCCGCCGCTGCCGGGAGTGGAGCCGGCCGGGGACGAGAAGAGGTGCTGTTGAACGCCGGCGCCGATCGGTGATGGCGATACGGACATGGAGGTCTGGGGCGTCGGCCGGCCGGCCTGCTGCGCGTCCGCAGAGTCCCCTGTTCTTCGCCAACCCAAGGCGTTGTCTCCTCCTGCCCCTTGCCAAGTAGGACCCTGCGGCGTGACCGGCGGTACCGGGGTGGACGGCGGCAGGATGGTGGCGGCGGTGGCGGCGGCGGATGTAGCGGCAGGCTGCCGCTGTTGGTTCATCGGCGACGCGGGGACAACCCCCGTCCCTCCTGCCTCCTCTCCCACGCTCACGCCACCACCCTCTCCTTGTTGCTTACTGCTACCACCGCCTACTTCGGGGTTTCCGTTCCCGCTTTCGTTGTCGCTGTCCGCGGCGGCGCTGTCCTCGCCGTCCGTCTCGTTGTCTTCCGGCGTAAGCCTTCGACCCTCCGGCCAGGGGAGCATGGGGCGCCCAAGGGTGTCCGTGCGCTGGATAAAAGCAGGGGGAGGGGGGGGGGGGCGTGAAAAGAAAGGACAGGGGAGAGCGTAAGAGGCACAGGAGGAGGGCAGGGAGACACGCGCCCCACGGAGTGCAGGACTATCAAGTCCACCCACAAGTAGAGGAACAGAGGTGCAAGAATAGAACCTACGGGCAACACACAAAAAGACACGTTCCAAGTTGCCGAGTAGCTATCGACCTCGGACGGAGAGGTCGCCGGGGCCAAAATATTTCAGCTATTTTTTTTTCACTGAGTGAGTGCTTTCGGGACCGGGTGCGGCGATTTTTCGGTTGCTCACCTTCACGTGCAAATCTTCGCGCTGCTGCTTCTCGGTCCGGGGGAGCGCCATCAGCTCCAGCTCCTTGTCCCTTTCCTCGCCGCTCACCGCGGCGTCTCCGCCGCTCCCCTTCCCGCCCGCGATGATCAGCACGGGGAGCCCGCTCGCCCCCGCGAGGCTCAGAGCCACGGTCGGCTTGGCGTCCTCCTCCTCCATCCCGATGCCCTCGAGCGGCTGCAAGCGCATCGTGTTGACCGCCTGGCGAGAAAAATCATTGGGGGGAGAGTGCCACACGCATACGAGAGTGACGGCAACGTTCAGCAAAAACAGGAATGCCGTTTGGATGCCACTCGCTGGAGACCAAAGACAAAAAGCGATTGCTGAGAAAGGAGCAAGAACGTGCATGATGCGCTCGTCGGTTGAGAGGGTGTCAGAGGCTACGGGGCGGTGTCGCCCTGCGTCGGTTTTGGCATTTTCAAAAATACGGTGGTTCGTTCGCAAGGACAAGGGGCTAGGGTGCGATGACGGTTGCCGACAGCATAAAAACACCCAAGGTGGATGCAGCCATCGAGGTACATATGTATGCCATGGCTACCGTTCTCACATACGGCAAGGTCCAAGAGCCTCGTAACACATGTACCCACGCCACGAGAAACACTGTCTTTGAGGGGTGGGCAATTGATACACACCACCCCGTGTTGAGCAGACAAAACGCGCAACGAAGCTCCCTTACAAGGAAAACGCGCCCCCCCCCCCAAAAACAGGCATATCGCTCCGTCCCGGCATTGTACATGTAGGGAAACGAGGTCTACGGTGGAACGAATTACGGTACGAGTTTACATGAGTACACCCCTCCCCCCTCCCCCCTCCCCCCTTTTTTTAAAGATCG